CCTTCTCTCACTCCCCTTTCCCTCATCGTCTTAATCAAAATCCTCTATCCACTGAATCGAACGCTGCCTTTAGATCTACAAACATCACATACATTTCCCCCTTCTCCCTTCCCAACTGCCTATTTATTAGATAGTTCATTGCATACACTTGGTCTATCGTTCCCATTCCTTTCCTAAACCCCGCTTGACTTTTCGATAGAATTCCTTTCCCTTCTACCTCCTCTCTCAATCTTTCCGCTAACACCATCACATATATCTTGTAAAGTGACTCCTCTGTGTCACTCCTCTATAATTTGCCACTTCCTCCCCTCCTCCTTTTTTAATATCGGCACTATCCCTCCCTCTTTCCACTGTTCCGGCCATCCTTCCCTCTTCCATACCCTTTTACATACTTTTTACCTCCCATATCCACTTTTCCACCTTCTCCCCTCCATATTTCCACGCCTCACTTAGCACCTCATCTCTTCCCATTGCCTTAGCGTCTTTCAATTTCCCCACCGCCCTTTTTATTTCCTCCCATTTTATATCCTCCTCCTGTTCCTCCTCTCCCTCCTTTCTTTCCTTTCCCTTCACTACCTTCTGTTCCACTCCCCCCATTAATTTCATGAAATATTCTTTTTATTCTTCCATTTTTATCTCCTCGTTGATTCCCCTCCTTCTTTTCCTTTCTCTTCTCACTAACTCCCATACCTTTCCCTCTGTTCTTGCCTGTCCTACCTCCCTCATCATCCTTTCCCCCTCCTCCTTCTTTTTTTCCTTACACATTTCTTTATACTCCTTTTTTTCCTTTCTATATTCCTCTCCCCCTCCTTTCCCCTTTCTCTATTCTCTGATATTTTTCTTACCTCCCTCTTTTTTTCTCTACTGTCCTCGCCCATCATTCTCTTTTGCTATCCCTTCTATTCTCCTTTCCCTCTTCACATTCCTCTATTATCTTTTTTACCCTTTCCGTTCTCCTTATAATCTCTTCCTGAACCCTCTCCTCTGTTCCCTCTATCCTTCCCAACCTCTCCTTAAACTCTTTTCTTCCATTCTCATCCCAGATCCCTCTTCTTACTCTTTTATTATTCTCTCTTTCCTCCCCTTCTTCCTACATTTCCTTTTATCCATGCCACTATCGGATGGTGGTCCGAATCCACCTTATCCCCTACTTCAAATCTTTCTATTCTCTCCCTCACTTCTCCCTCTCCTATAATATAATCTGTAACTGTCTCTCCCTTACCTCCGGTATATGTGTATTCTCCCTTCCCCACATGTGTTTCCATTAATTATCGTCCACCCTCTTTCTTCGATAAATTCTAACAGCCTTCTTCCTTCTTTATTTACTCTCTTATCCTTTGATTTCCTGCTATTAACCTCCTTCTTTTCTTCTTCTACATCCTTCCCCCCTCCTTCCTCACCTGTTCTTGCATTGAAATCCCCCCCTATTAACACTCTTACCCCCTCTTCTTTTCCCTCCATCCAGTCCTTTAATCCTTCCAGTTTACTTTCCATGTCCCCATTCACATATATCCCTATTATTCTCCACCTCTCCTCCCCTATTCTTATCACACAATTTATCCTCCCTTCCTCCTCCTCCACTTCCTCCTCCTCTATTATTGTACCTTCTGTGGTGGCATATCTGCGCCACCCAAGCGCGCGCGCGACGCGCGCGCCACCAAGCCCCCGCGGCCGCCCGACACATCACGCGCCTACGCCGGGTCTCTCGCGCGGCGGACTTTGCGCCCGCGCCGAGGCACACGAGGCGATCACGCGCCGGCCGCGAGTGCCATTTTCAGTGACACACCGCTAGAGGGCCGAGTTTCTCGCGATGAAAAAACGGCCCAGCAGGGTATAAATAGGCCCAAAAATCCGAGCCAAGACCAGACACGATTCTCGAGTTGAAGCCACTCAGGACTCAACAAGAGCAAACCCGGTCTTTTTGGAAAACATTTAACGCAACATCACCAAGCTGCCGCCTGCCGCCGCAACTCGTCCCGGCGTCGCCGAGGCGTTTCAAGGACCGCTACCAGGCCCCGCAAGGTAGCCACATCAAAGCGCTCCAGCTCCACGGCTAAGCCGCCAGCAAAGCCAACTTCGGCGAATGAGTGGAGACTCGTGGCCATCGAGTTCGGGTCAGCCTCAACGGACCCACGCCGACGACAGCGAAAATCACCAGGCAGAGTCGACGACCATCTACGGTCTGAGAAAATTCTACAGGCCCTGGCAGTACCACCTCGCATACCGCCACTAGCTGCAGATCCCAGCACGCAGCAGGACCGCACGGCCGACAGGGCGACCCAGACCAGCCCGACGCCCGAAGGGAGATCCACAGCGGTACAGACGTGTTACACCGTGGCTGGGGTGTAACGTGGGAAGGACTCGGTTTTGGTGGTTGTAGAATTGATGCACAGTATCTTGTTTAATACAAACACTATATTTGACGTGTTACTTACAGATTGAATGACTGCGCGGCCGACAGCGTAACGCTATGCGTTAATGATTAAAGTTGAACTCCGCAGTGGTCCGCTGAACGACGGGTTATATCCCATCTCAAGTGGGCCACTGCACTGCTTAGTCGTTGCAATTATTGCAACGACGGCA